ATATATATATATATATATATATATATATATATATATATATATATATATATATATATATATATATATATATATATATATATATATTATATATTAGGGTTGTCACGATACTAAACTTTTCAACTCGATACCGATACTAAGGAAAATATTCGATACTCGATACCATTTTCGATACCACAAGGATAAAAACAAAGACTCCAAAATTCTACAGAAATATTTTAATTAATAAATAAAATACAATAAATAAATACAATAAACAATAAGAACAATATTTTGAGGTTGTATGCTGTGCACAATATTAAGCAAGCTTGATAAAAAACTTATAAAATTAAAATTAAGTGTTCCTTCCTTGGCTATGCTTTGCACACATAACAATGACACTAGCCAAACCAGTCAAAAAACAAAAATAATTCTCAGCAGCTGCACCTCTTCCAAAAAAAAAGTCTGAAACTGAAAAGTGCGTAGAATTATTCAATCACACAGTGTTCTGAAAGTGCATTGTCCTCTATTCTGCACTTTAGATGAATGACTGCTTAGGGGCCACTGGTGGTGGCACTGTATCGATACTTTTAAAAACGAGTATTGTATCCGGATACGTTTCAGTGTCGATACTTTTTTGAGTATCGATACTTTTGACAACCCAAATATATATATATATATATATCTATATATATATATATATATTTATATATATATTTATATATATATATATATATATATATATAAAAATAAAAAAAAATTCTGTTTCCATACTTGACAATTGAATGATGCAGGTCAAACGGGGTATACAACCTTCTGAAAATAATGTTGAGAGCGCCTAAAACTCTCCATTATAAAACCTGAAAGATGTAAAGGCTAGGACCTAAGCATGTATCAGATATAGCGGTGGCTACAGACATCAGGAGGTTCCTATGTCAACTGCATTGGCCTTTAGCCTTGTGAGACCATCCTGATCCTGCGAGCTTTCAAGATTTCACTCGCAGATCAGTCTGGAGACTCTCCGTTGAAGAAAATTTGTGACGCAACGAGAAGCGCGACAGTTCAGTCTAAAGAACATGGCAGCTTCAGCCGATGAAACTAGCGTTAGCGTGGCTATCGAGCAAGTTTTATCAGAATTACAGAGTATTTCTTCACTGAAAGAAGAGCAAAACACTGCTCTGGAGGCTTTTCTCAGAGGAAAAGATGTTTTTGCTCTTCTCCCGACTGGTTTCGGCAAGAGTAGCCTGGCTGTTAGTACGCCATATGCTTGGTTGATCTGATTGGTTTATTTGGCCCGTCTATCACCAACATAGGCCAATCAGCTAACCAGTATTTTCGCCCCTTCCCAAAATTACTTCAACGGAAGGTTTCCAGATGGATATGCGGAGCAAATCCATCTGGCGGAGTCAGGTTAATTGGCCTTAGGAAGCGTCCTGGTCCTAGTGATTCTGGGCTACGACCAAGAAGCAGGGCCAGAATTAGTGTCCCTGCTGATTTGCGGTATATGGATGGGGTCTATATCTGTTGTTCTGTCGAGGAAGACCTTTGCAAACCTCACAATAAGCTGAAGAGTGATGCTGTTGAGTATAACAGGTTTCTGAGTGTCTAAACATGATGGATTGTGTCCGCATACATGTGGGTGAAATGAGCTTCATCACCCACACTGAAATAACTCTGCCGTGACGTTGACATGTGATTGTGATCTCTCCTAAATGCACCACCCTTTAGAGGTTTGGTGATCTTCCAGACCAGAAGCTGAACTTAATGGAGGAAATATGTATTGTTTCTAACCTGGAAATTGATAGAAACCCTGATTAGGACTTAGAAAACATCCCTGCTGACAGGATATCTGGTTCCCTCCAGCTTTCTTTACCTCTTATCTTCAATGATGGATGGATAAAAGGATGGGCTGCATAATTATTTGTGTTATTAAAGTCAATAACCTTGAAGTAATGATTATCATTATGTGGATTCCTATGTAGGTATATCTTTCATTTGACACCAAAAAACCACCTCCGTTTTTGAATGAATCCAGATTCTTTACTGATTTTTCACTTCATTGTTTTCACTTTAATTGTTGCTGAAAAAATGAAAGGATGCTGTGGATTATTGTTGCATAATGCCGAGCTGCTACAACCTTATTTCCATGACTCGCCGAAGCAAAGGAAGTCTGTAGGGGTTCTCTCTCAGATGCATCTTCAGGTTTGTTTCTGACATATAAAAAAATAAAAAAAAAAGACAGGTGAGGTTTGAAATTGGCGGAATGAGATGAACATCCACATATGAGTTAAATCCAAAGTTTGATGGCTTCCATTCTGTAGAAAATCACCAAAGCAAACTAATAAATGCTAAACCTAGATTTACTGAAGAAAATGTAATTTTTTTACACTTAAATATTATGTTTCTGTTTAATATTTTTTTATTTTGTTGCTTAAATGATCAAATTAAGATGGAACTGCAAAAAAAAAAAAGCTTGAAAGCCTATTGATACCGAAACTAATTAAAAAAAGAATAATTATAAACTTCTCATTTCTTCTTTTAATTCAGTCACTTTGTGGTTTTAAGTAAAGGTCAGATTTATAAAGGGTGCAACTTGTACATGTCCGGTCACCTGATTCTCTGCGGCTCCCCCAAAGTCACCAAAGCCTTCTTGGCATCTTTGATAAATACTTTTCTCTCCTCCTTCTCAGTTTTGGAGGCGCGTCGTACGATTCATCTGTTTGGATTTAAATGTGACTGAAGCAGCCTGTAGAAAAATGCATGCCCCACTTTTTTTAATTTCATCCATGGCATTTTTTTTTTCACTTTACAATATCATCTATAAGATCAAAAAGTAAAAAATGCTTTGAAGTTTCAGACAGAATACAAAAATCCTTGAGGTATATGATCACTTCTGCTATGGCATTGAATAAGATGACTCGGAACAAAAGTGGAGTAATTGTGACTCAAACATGTATTTTTAGGGCAGGAAGAGGCGAATGAGATGAATGTAGTACCGTATTCTGTCCATTGGAGGAGACAAAGGACCTGGAAATTTGGATGGTTTTGGGAGAAACGAGGGTATCAATGTGATAGGTCCCCATCGGCAGAGCTGCGCTTCATCGGTCGCTCTCCCTCACCTCTCCCCCTTCCATCCCTGTCTCTCTCTCTCTTTAGCACTCTGCCTCTGTGCTTTGCAGACGCTCGTACTGCTGCGCTCTTTTTGCTCCATCTCTTCTCTGTGGAGAGCAATGAGTGCAGATTCCATTCACAGTCTGTCTGGCAGCATCTTGATTGGCCAAAACGGGGATGGAGTTGAGGACCTGAGGGACCGAACACCTCTGTAAGGAGCCTGAGGCGGAGAAGGGGTAGAAATTTCAACAGGAAAAGAACCACGTCGGATTTCTTCCAGTGGAGATTATTTTGCATCACAAAACGGGGAGGGAAAAAAAAATCAGAGAGAGGACCCTGGTACTCTGAACCGGCTGCACAAGCGGTGCCATTCACAGTGGTAATTTGAGTGATTGTGAGTGCACTCACCTTTTCTGCATGCAGATTCGTGGGATTCTTTTCTAATGCAAATGTAAAGCAGGCTGGTTGCACCGCTGCTTGGATTTGACAGACGTGCTGCAGCCAGTCCCTCTAATTCAGGTTGGCATGATTATAATGAAGTTGATGCATGCTGTTGATTAAATGTGTGCAAAAAACACAAAACAGATGATGTTAAATAATTCATGTCTCCTATATGACAGAACTTCCAAACTAGGTTATTTTAGCCTTCTGTCTGAGACTGATGGCTGTGGTTTGCATGTTTTGGTGAGAATTTTGGGGGGTTTTTTTGGGGGGGGGGGGGGGGGGGGGGTTACTCTGTGGAACCTGGATGCAGAGGATTGGATGGATCTCAGAATTTCTACTTCCCTGTCCACCCTTGTCTGTCTTTACTTCTGTTGAGTTAATGAGATTGACAGGTGAGTTTGCGTTAAAGAACCGCCCCCCGTTGCACAGTGATGGGATTTTATGGCTGAAATTTGTTGTGTAAGGGGAAATAATCTAATGTCCATTTTATCTCACCTCGGTTTCCTCGTCGCTCCCTTTATCCCTGCGTTATTGTCTGCCCTGCAGAATCCACTGGTTCTAAGTTGTCCATTCACAGAAATGGATGGACGAGATTTGTTTGGTGAGGGAGAGAAGGACGGATGTTAAACAGCCTCCAGAGGAGTGAAGGAGGGGAATCCATGGGTAATTTAAACACAGACGTCAGTGCACACGTTCCCCAGCTGTCTATGCAATTAACGCCTCCACCAATCCTTGGTTCTTGTTGGACAGATGAGGAACTGGAGCAAAGGGTTTTCATAGGTTTACTAAAGAATTGCAGAGATCCATGGTGGTGGATCATTGAGGTGTATTCCTGAAGTTGAAGCTTGCAGAAGATGGTGACCATGTGGAAACTGCATTTGTTGCACGTTTTTCGCTTCCCTCTACACTTTGTTTTCTTTTGATATTGCAAAACAGAAATCCAGTTTGCAAAAAAACAATAACTAGAATAAAAACTTGCAAGTGTTCGTAATCATAATGTAGGCATGTGTGCAGTGTCTTAAAGACCTCTTAAAATTTCATATAAATGTGATAAAAAGTGTGGCATGCAAATATATAATCCATTAGTAAATCATGTCTGCAGCAACATAAAGATGAAAGATATCTCTAGAAAACATGAAGTTTAAAACATATAAGGTTAAAAAACCGTATGAAAAGCCTTGAATTCCCACAGAACTATGTTCAAACCATCATCAGAGAATAAACTATTGCACAACTGCAAACCTGCCAAGACATTTGACTTTAACCGACAGGTGGAGCGTTAATCAGAGGAACAGCTATGACCCTAACAGTAATGATAGAGATGCTGCAGAGATCCAATGCTTAGAAGGAAGAGTTGCTCAACTTTGTAAATACTTCTTTTAGATCCCCGGTTATTCTAGTTTTACGTCTTTTTTTGGGGACAGGCTTGATTAGAAGCCACTCTTATGGTACCGATGTTTTCCTTCTAGGGGGCGTCATCGACAAAGACCTCCGCCGCTACCTCAACCTACGTTTCCAGAAAGGCTCAGTGGACCACGAGCTGCAGCAGATCATCCGGGACAACCTGTACCTCCGCACCGTCCCCTGTGAGTTACCCTGTTCCTCCTGCCTCCACCCCGCTTTCCTGAACTTATTGAGACGCACCTTTCTGTTGTTAAAGCTGGGATATCGCTAACGCAACGTGTTGTTAAAATGTGGGTTTGATGTTGACGTTGGTGGCAGTTTCATTACATCAGAGATTCTACAGTAGTTGGCTAATCTTTCTTCTTCTTGCTTCTGGATCAAAAGTTCAACAATCAATGCCTTAAATTGATTGATTTGAGTTTATGATTGAAAATGTATGTCTAAAACAATATTTTTCTTATTAATAATGGCCGCACACTATCACTAGTTTTGTTTTGAAGCTCAAGGAAAGAAGAAACCACTGATATGAGTTGGAAAATTTTGGCCTTTGTGTTGAAGGACAGTCTTAGAGGAGTCATCCTTATGGGGGGATTACTTTGGTCATTTGTTTCTATCTAAAGAATCGCTGTGCTTCTGGAGGGCTGTTTTATCAAAGAATTAGTTGTAAGTTGAACTTTAAAATCATGCATGATCTGTGATTCTTCTTCCCTAATTCGCTGCTTTAAGAATCTCAGAGGAACCAACAGTTTTAAAAGTGTAATGTGGAGCATCAAAGATAAGATTTGGAGGGCTGTACCTTCAATGCAGGTCGGATCAAATGCTGCATGTGTGTGTTTTTCTTTTACCTTTATCAGGTTTATGTTCTGTTGGTGCTTTAAACACAATGCTTTTTGTAAGAAAAAAAAAATGTATATATAAATTAAATAATAATTAGCTCATTGCAAACATATATTGCACTGTAAAACCTTGTTATATGAGTGAATTTATTCAGTGACATGAAAAATCCCAAATTAGGTAATAATTATATTGAATAAAAACCCCAATGATTTTCAAATTAGGCTCATTATGTAACAGAGGCTTTTTTAATTGACAGTATCAGACCATTCAGAAAGGCTGATCAGTAATCTATGGCTTCTGGATTATTTTTGTTGAACTTCTGTTCTGCTTCTTTCAACAAGTCCAAGATAAGGAAACATAATTAAAGGCAAGCCCATGTATTTGATCGCCATAGACTGGCCCTTATCTGGTCAATTAAACACATGAAAATAGGAGATGTCTTTTAAATTACAGGGAAATTAGATCCAATATCTTTGGTTTCTCTGACACCAAACAGTCTGGGTGGGTCTGGTTTGAAAAGAAATAACAAATATGTGTAGAAACGGCTCATAACTTCCTTTATGTATGGCGTATGCCCTGGAAACCATATTCTTTGCAAAATCTATGTGTATAAATGCTATACTTTCAGGAAAGTAGAAGATATTTGCCCTTATCCAGACATGGAATTAAAAGTCCCATTGGACCCAGCTGTCTGATGGCCAACTCTCGTCTGAATAACTAATGAATGTGCGTTCTTCAAGCAAGGAGCAGCAAGCAGGTGGATTTCTCTCCAAAGCAGTTTCCTACCTCTCTCATCGAGCAGAAGAAGAAGAAAAGGAAAAAAAAGTATTTTGGAATGTAAGAATACATCCCTGTGACCTTCTACAAAGCTGCTGCTAGTGAGAACTGAGAGTTTCTCAGATCTGAGGAAGGAAATTCATTTCTTTATGCTGAAAACAGCCTGAATTACCCTGAACACACTAATGAAACACAGTGGTGGCAGTACCATACTGTGGGGATGCCTTTCTTCTGCAGAGATCAGACAGCTTGGTTGGTGAAAATTTGGATGGAGCTGAATGTTTGTGGTGGAAAACCTAACAATACAAACATCACTTCGAACCAAAGCAATGGGAGAGTTAGTCTGTTTGGCAGAAGTTCTTGGCTGCCCATTCAAAATACAGACAGATCTGTAACAGCAGTGAATTAAAAAAATATGCAAACGTTACAAAAAGCTTTCTGATTGAGAGGTTGTGCTCCATATTATAGTTCTGTTCTTAGCCGTGTGATTTTCCCTTTTTTTAAATCTAGAGCCTGTTTCAGTTATATTCAGATGTTGACGTTTTGTTTACATGATCAACGTCTTCTAATGCCATGATCTGCTAACGTGTATAGCAATGCTAGCATGAACAGTAACTTCTCTCAAGCTATTGAAGCTTTGTGCGTCGCCATTAGTCTTTGAAAAGTTGCTCATTCTCGTCAGTGGAGGTGTCAAAACTCTTACTTACGCAGCTTTGCCTTGGACGCACCATTACCATGGCAACAAAATAATTACCTTCCTTCATTGTAGTAGTTGTTGCATTATATTTAAGAACGGGGTACCTTCTTACTAACCTGACTCCGCCAGATAGATTTGCTCCGCATATCCATCTGGAAACCTTCCGTTGAAGTAATTTTGGGAAGGGGCGAAAATACTGGTTAGCTGATTGGCCTATGTTGGTGATAGACGGGCCAAATAAACCAATCAGATCAACGAAGCATATGACGTACTAACAGAGCGACGACGAAGAGGAGCCAATTGATGGATCAAACTCTTGCCGAAACCCGTCGGGAGAAGAGCAAAAACATCCAGACCTAACCTCCAGAGCAGTGTTTTGCTCTTCTTTCAGTGAAGAAATACTCTGTAATTCCGATAAAACTTGCTCGATAGCCACGCTAACGCTAGTTTCATCGGCTGAAGCCGCCATGTTCTTTAGACTGAACTGTCGCACTTCTCGTTGCGTCACACCTCAACCCGCCTCAAAGCCAACGCTGATTGGACGTTCGTTTGGTGAACGGCTCCAAATTTTCTTCAACGGAGAGTCTCCAGACTGATTTGCGAGTGAAATCTTGAAAGCTTGCGAGATCAGGATGGTCTCATTACAGAGTATTTCTTCACTGAAAGAAGAGCAAAACACTGCTCTGGAGGCTTTTCTCAGAGGAAAAGATGTTTTGCTCTTCTCCCAACTGGTTTCGGCAAGAGTTTGATCTATCAATTGGCTCCTCTTCGTCGTCGCTCTGTTACGCCATATGCTTCGTTGATCTGATTGGTTTATTTGGCCCGTCTATCACCAACATAGGCCAATCAGCTCACCAGTATTTTCGCCCCTTCCCAAAATTACTTCAACGGAAGGTTTCCAGATGGATATGCGGAGCAAATCCATCTGGCGGAGTCAGGTTAGTGTAACATTGGTTGGGCTGAAAATGGCATATTTGCTGTTCTATGAGCCCTAATGTAAGCCTGGTTAAAAGCCCTAGAATGAAGCAACAGGTTTGCTTCCTTTTATGGTATGCTCATGAATATTTAGATGAGCTGTGCTCTGATTGGTTGGTTTACAACAAGCGAAGCTTCTGAGCAAAGACCCATCATAGCAACAAGCACTCATACACTGAAACATCAAATTGTTTATATGGTAGGGTGACCAAATGTCCTCTTTTTCCGGGACACGTCCTACTATTCATACCTAAAAAAAGTCTGGGGGGAATTTCAAAACCGTCCAGGATTTTGGTCGACTTCAGTGCAGCCGAACCGAGCCGTGAGCTCCAGGGCAGGTCCGGCCCGTGGGACTGAGAGTCCGAACCCGACCCAGAGATGGTAGCTTGGACACCGGCGGCCCCGTCACCGGGTCAGGTTTGGTTGTTCCGTCCGCGGCTGCAAACCACCAGCAGTTTAACTAAATTTTATTCATGGGTGTGACAGTAAATGGGGTTAATCACATTTGAACACCACAAGCTCCATTTGTATTCACCACTTTCTGATGTTCTATCACTAGTCAGTGGTTATGATGTCACAAAATGTGAAATTGTAATGCACCATTCTATTTTCTTTTTTATCCTTTAGTTTTGCATCATTCATAAGGACGGCACCCGACAACCGAGAAAGCACCTCTGTCAGCTTGATAAAGAAATGGCCACATTTAAGTCCTCTGAGTGATAAATAAAAGGGAGACAAAGGGACATGAACGGAGAAAATTCATGGTGATGGATGTGAAGCAGTTCATCACAGCAATTTAAACATAACCTTTGAGTGGTAAAGAAAAGACATTTTTCTCTGGGCTGAAGGCTGATGCTCAGACAGTGGGAGAGTTACTGCTGCTCATACCAATTGTGACGCCCGGGCAGAGCCGGGGAGGGCCAGCTAAGGCCGTGCCAGCTCTTAGACAAATTGCCTGGTTGAAATCCAAGGTCAAAGCGTTAATAGCCCGAGCCTTGCAAAATCAGGCCTATCGTCTGGTAATCCGCCTAGATTTGATAGGGGAGATAAAGATCGGAGCCCACTCATGATACCTAAGATTGCTACACACCGAGTTACTTAGGTTAATCTGAATTTCGGGGGGAAACGGGTAGTTGGAAGACAGATTTTTATTATCTGACTCCTCACTGTGCTGTAATTTCAGGACTTGACAGCTTTGGAAACTGTTAGTTATCAAACAGAAGGTCAAGAGAGAGAAGGAAAAAACAAACACCTAATGCTCTCCCACATGTTCACTAAAAAATGTGTTCATTTAGTAAAAGCACTTTTGAGCACTCAGTGCTGCATCTTGTCCTTTAAATCTTTGCCTCAGTTTGACCTTTAAAAGCTCTAACCACTATCACCTTGTGCCTTACCGAGTGGGAATGAAAAAACGCTTTAGATGGTGTTAGGATGTCTAAAGAATAATAGAAGAACACCCTTAAAGTTCTCCCTTCAAAAAAGACAATTCTCTTAATACTGATGCTTGTTCATTATTTTATCTCTTATTTTTAATTAGTTTTATACCAAAACTATGTCTGCATCTCTGTGTGTTTTGCTTCAGACGTATGAAAGCTGTGGGGTAACATTTAAACTGCCCGCTAGTTGTCATTGGCTCCACTCTGTGTCCTTATTGTATCACATGTCTGTGGTCCACTTTAACGACCCAATGTCTGATTGATGACTGCATTAATCGGGATAATAAATGGACTAAGAGCTCTCTGCTGCCCTGCAGTTTGTTACGTAGCATCTGTGGGATGGAGCCAATAAATGCAACAGGGTTGAACCGATCCAGAGGGATCCAAGCTCAGACTTTAAACCAGGTTTTTTGGGGAGAATTTAAACGGTGTCCAATTGTGGGGAGTTGTTGGTTACATT